CATGCTTCAATGATTATCATGGCCCATGATTACCATGATTGTTTTTTTTTTCACCGACGAGAGTTCACTATTACTACCATCGACTACTAGCAGTCAAGTTAGATTCCCTTGCTGGTATTAGTGCACAATGAGGGTAAACCATATGTATTTCAGTCGAACGAGATGGAAAAGTAAGGTGGGACTACATTGTCAACTCATGAAGATGGACTTACCACTGGTGGTCGCCCCGCCTCGGCTTCCAAAGCTCTCAATAGGAAATCACCTCTTACAGTTATAAGGCAAATAACATCTTCCAAAGGGAGAGCACCATGATACCAGTTTTCGTTCTCTAGCTCCTGCAACATCCAAGATCCGAATATTTGTGAAGTCATAGGTCGTTTTTGTGTTCCACCAGTTTTCCTATCACAATCGAGTTTGGAGTTGCGATCAGCAGTGGTCACCATTCATTGTCACCCTAACACCTGTCCTAAGTGAATTTACTATTTTTATTGTTCTACCCACTCAGATCAGAATGAACTTCGGTTGTCATAGTTATTCTCTCACCACTTAAGATAGATATCTCCTACCAGAGACTCTCCCTCAGTGGAGGTTGTAGTGCTGCCCAATGTCGAGCCCAGCGACTCGGCCTCTCGCTATGGAAAATGAGCAAATCTCAAAAACCACCCATGTAATTGTTTTGTAATGCTAGCGGAATCAGAGGATATTCTCCTTCTCTTTAGAAGACGCTCAAGTGAGATAGATTCTGTCTGGATTCTGTTACGAATGACGAATATATTCGCTCCCAGTGTTGAGCGCTAGAGCTCTATAGGGAGGTTAGGTGCTCTTAGTCAGAACAGTTTTTTGACCTGCGCTTCAGGAGTAAAGGAGCACCGGGGTGGGTGAGTCGATTGAATATTCACCTCGTACGCCATCCTAGCTTCAAGGTCGGCAACCATCTTTCTCTGCACTCAAGCCCTCAGGGCTGTATAAGAAGCGAAGCATTCTCTAGCCACTTTGTAAAACTAAGGAATGAGGGCCGGCGTAAGTCGGGCGGCCCGACTGGTAGGGAATATACTCCATCTGTGTTTGTTGCATGCTCCATGTATGTCAGAAAATGTTCTCACAGCGATAAGTTTTTCAGCAGCTTCGTCAACGAGTTTCGCCATATCTGCCTTCTTGTTTTGATCGGGCTTCTCCTGAAAGGATGTACTATGAGGGGCATCACCCCTGCTAGATGATCATGCAGTACGGTGAGATGACTTTACTTCTGTAATATCTACTGTAATGTAAGTTAATTCTACCCCTTGTCCACCAGCACACAGCAGAAGGTTCGCATACTCGTTGTTGGTGACATTCCCCATTGCCCTGAATGTGAAATTTTTTCCTTAAGTGATTTCGACCTAAAATCGAAGTCCCTTAAAGGTTTAATTTTTTGAAGAGTTGTTCCAAACTTTTTTGTTATCATCGCATTTTTCATGCTGGGAAGTATTTCGTACTACAATGCCCAATAAACTGGCACATGCTTCATATAGGTGAATGCAGATGTATATGTGCGTGTGGGTCCTGATGACCTGTCGAGATGATCAGGTTCGTCATGGAAAAGTGCGAGTATCACCTGTATAACCTGTGGTCCCGTTGATAACCGATTTGCTCGAGTGGGCGCCAGAAGCGTCCCCATTGATTTGTGTTGCGAGACAGTGTAGTCTAGTGAATCGTACTCGCTGAAGGAACACGAAGCCTAGCATTTTTTTCAGCGCTTCTAAGACGAAGTCTGAGAATCGCAATGGTAGCCGTCCTGCTGTTTGTTTGACTTCCGGAGAGATCTAGTCAGCAACCGCCCTGGTACAACGGTCATCACGACATCGCATAACGTGTCCGGCCCACCTGGTCTTCGATTTCCTGGCGTAATCAGCTGCTCTTTGGTCTGTGTTTGCACCCATGGATGGAGCTCAGAACAACGAATTCTCCCTGCATTAACATTCATGGCTGAATCCTAGCACCGTTCTTCCCACAGTGCGTTGAATGGGGGTTACTGCTCATCTTGCTTTCGTGATTTCTCAGAAGCAAAAGTCAAGGCAGGAAGGGCTGCAATATCGAAATACGGACGCGTATTGGGATGTTTTATTTGCTTCTTCACTACCCCCTCAGTGTTACTGAATGTTCCCCACGGTGTTTCTTCACTTCGCCTAGCTTCAGACGTTGTTTTCTCGGCCTAGGAACAATTAGTCAGGCCATTCTGAATATTCGCACCGCTAAGCGTAAAGAAAGCATCAGGAACCAGTCCGCTAAGTAGCATCGTCCTTGCTAGATTCCGTTGCAAGTCAACCCTCCTCCGGTTCTATGCTGTTTCTAGCCACTATTGCCGCTGATGTTACAAACTGATGTTTTTTGCAGGTGGTATAACTGTAGGTCTTCGATATCCGCCTCATTTCCTTATTTTCCAAATAAAGCATGGCGTTCTTGAGAGTAAGGCAGACGTTTCACGAGAGCAGCACTGAAGTGTTTGGGGAAATAGTATCACCCTGGAAGCCACTCTGTTCGCACTGACGATGACTTCTTTGTGGATTAGAGAAGTTCTGCTCGCTAAAACCCGTTGTAGGTCTAACAGGTCGCTCTGGACTTGATCACCGTTGTTGTGGACCCTGTGTGTGTTTCAGAGACGTCCTTCGAATAGATGAGCTTGACGCCCAAGAGTATCTCGTACTCTCACGGCACTTCAGTAAGTCTTGCGACTATATGGATCCAAGACATTGCCTAAACTGAGCCCTCATCTTCTTTCAATCATTCTCCTCTCGATCCTGTCTAGGAATTCTCCTGTGAGGAGCTAGTGAGTTACAGACTGCACCAGGAATAAGCAATAGTTGCCAATGTCGTATACGTCTCCTTTTCATGCAGAAACACACCGTTACGGGTTTTCCACAGACGTGAGTACTTTGCAATCCGGCGAGTAGCGCTGGGAAAGTCGAAGACAGAGTAATGGTTACAGTCGGCGGAAGCCTTTCCCGGATATTCTTGTTAAATCACATCGGTTATGAGTGTTGTACCGTTCCTCTGGCGTGAAGCGAGCTGATGAGAGAAAGCGTATCCATCTTGTCTGTGTTCATGGTTAGGCAGGCAGCTCATTTTTGCTCATCCTTGCAGTAACTTGGTGTTTGGACCCTTATCACGTTATGTTTGTTACTCATCAACATCAGCTTTTGACTTTCTTGTACTACCGTATTCGTCTTCGCATCACTGGCAACCATGACATGATCACACTTACAGGTGAGTGTTTCCTTAGGTGCATGCCAGTGCATTCAGTCCCTGACATATCGGATCTCCTAGCTGCTAAATTCGAATGAGCTAGGAGACCCGAATTCGAAGCTCTCATGACGCTATTCCACAGAAACGTTCACATGCAACTTTTCACTTCTCAAAACCTTTATTCCGTTTATGGTTTCCAGGAAGATATGTTTTGGGAGAAGTTTCAGAACTTCTCTCAGGTTCACGTATGTACACGGAAGGAGCAATATTCGTACAAAGCAAACTGACGTACCAGTTTCAGAGACACCTCCCTACCACCCGCCACAACGAAAGTTTAAGAAATGAAGGTACTAGCATGCCGCTAACCTCTTAAATATCTTCTTGTCTTTATCGATATCACCATTTCTTTCGTAGTCTCCCTGCTTTCCATCCTTTTAGCTCAAGGCATTCCTGCTATGCAGGGTGACTACAAAGTATGATTCGCCAATTATGCGTGTTCCTTTGCGGCAGTACACCTCGTCGACCAGAGGTGTTCTGCTGCCCATATGAGATTTTCATTAGATGGGTTCTTCAAATCTAGTAACTTCCAAAGATTATGTGCTGCTCGCAAGTTATCGACACCTTTTGATTTCAATTACTATTTCCTCATTGGTTCTTATTCCTCCTCATCTCATGCAAGAGCATAACCATGCATAATCCAGTCTTTGCTC